AAATTTATTTCACCTTATCATACTTCTCTGTTCATCAGATGTGCAAATTACTTAAATATTGCACTAAAAATCACAGCAAGACAGCTGTGACCTCTTGAGCAGCATTGACCTCTTGAGCTTCAAGAGTGAGAGTTACCTTGTCTTCAGTCTGCCATAGTTACAAAAATGTCTGATTTAACACACAGGACAGAGGTATGTCTTTTTCTTCCTCAGCAAAATATTTTGTGCCTCCCTTTCTACATGATTGATTAGGCCCCAAATGTATCCTGTTCATGAAAACTAGACTCGGTCTTGTGCATCCCCCAGACCTTAACGTAGCTTTTCTAGATTTCTTAACTGCAGTTTTAAAATGTGCATGACTGCTGGCTGAGTACAGCGATGGTGATGATATCAAAACTGCAGTGGAAATCATCAGCATTTTCATGTTAGATTCAAAATATACTTGCCTAGAAACAAGGTTCTAAAAAAGTAAAAAAGGACTAGGTTTTTGTCTGGCTTTGCTGAGAAGCAAAGTAGTTCTTTGTTATATTCATTTGGAACCCATAGTGACTTTTTTGCACTGCAGTGCTTCTTGGAGGGAAACTGCTATAGTAAAGCTGAGCTAATATCATTAAGACTGTTTGATCTAAAAGGCCAATTCTAGTGTCCTATTTCAATTAGGAAAGTTAGGAGTCCGTTTTTTATCTTTAAACTCAGACTAAATATTTCCGAAGCATACAAGGCCAGAAAGTAAGAACTGCATTTGAGTATCAGTGTCTAATAATGCAATTACTTTCTGTTCCATTTAGGACTATCTTTTTGTGACTGCATTCTTTAAAAAAAGGATCCAAATTGCTTTTATTGATCTCATTGATTGTTCTGATTCATTTAATGCAGCAGTTTTACCACACATCTTTGACAAGATTAATGCATGCAGTACAAGCTCCTATGAACCCTAAGAATATTGCAGATTTCCAGGGGTTCTCTACTAACATTAGTCCATATTGATGTTGTTTCGTCTGTCCTCTAGACTATCATTTTGATTCTCCTTGTCCCTTTCACTCTGTTTTTCTTCTTATTTTTTATGTTGTTATCACACCCTCTTAACTCATTTCAGACTACCCCCCCATCTTTAGTTCAAGGAACATGGTGAAACAAGTATCTTCTGAGAGTGCTTTACCTTATTTTCTGGGCCTCTGCAGAACACCCACACCTCTTTAGGTGCTGGTCCATTTCCTCTGTGGAATTTCTAGGCTCCAGTGGTATGTCTCTATAGCTTTTAAATGTAAGAAAGTAGGGTGTTTTTTGAGATGCTGCGTTAACCCTTTCATTGTTTTGCCTTTTGATGGGGACAGTGCATTAAGAATAAATATAGCCAAAGCTCAAAGGCTGTTAGTGCACAGGAAATTGCTTTTTTTAAAGGGATACTGTCAGGCTTCTCCATCATAAAAATTCCGATTTATTTCTCACAACATAATCAAATATTTATCATAAAATATTCAAATAAAACACTGCAGATAGATTCCCAGGGTGTCTCTCAAGCCATATCCCTTAGATTAAAAGATACTACAACAACATGCTGGGATATGACAAGCTGACAGTAGAATTGTCAAAACTCAGCAGAAACCTGCAGAGGGGGAATTCCTGAAAGAAGAAAACCTTTTTTCCTTATTTTTTTTTAAGGAGCATGGGTGTAGTTTGAAATTTTTCTGGTTTTCTGTAACATGCACTATAACAATAGTTGTTAAAAAGTTAACCTGACATTGTCCCACTTGGTTATTTGCAAAATTAGAAAACTAAATTCTCACTCAAGTGATAGTGACTTTTCTGTCAGGGTGAAGAGATAAATCTTATAATTTAATGTAATGCAACGAAAGGGTTTGCGCTTTGCGTGCATGCATATAGTTATTTAGGATGTTAATATGTATGCCAAACATCTTAGTGCTTACACTGAAGCTTAGCTACTGCCTTTATAGGAAAATAGAAATTAGTGATACGGTGGTGTTTCTTTTGTACACGAAAAACAAGTTTTCATGAAATGCAACATTTTGTTCATAATCTAAGTGAAGCTGACATAAGTACACTTCAGTTGATTTGTATATTTGAAGTGATTCTCCCTGAAATTTGAGTATGGCCAAGGTGGATCTAAGTATAAATACAGACATTTGGGGGTTGAAATCTTGTTGAATTACTTCTCTATGCAAAGTACTAAATGGGGAATGAATGGGGAACAATGGATATCACAGGAATATTGATGTCTTTTATATTTTATGGGAGCAGTTCACAGTCATAATGCTATCTCTAATAAATGTACCTTGAACTGAAATTCTAAACATTATTTCATTCACTATCGCTTCGTCATTTAATTATTCTAAGAGAAGTTTACAGTATTGACTTGCAAAGTTCTAATGTTACAGCTGTATGTTGAATATGCTAATGGACATATTTTCCTCTTCTGAAATGCAATTGGATGAAGAGCTGTTCATTGAGTTATCAAACTTGCAACATTTTAGAGAACTGCAATTTTTTTTTTGGCCAAGATGTTTACATGCTTTTTAGTCTGTTAGTAATATAGATGTGCATGGTTAGTGTATGATCAATACTAATATAGAAAAACAAAGTCCAGTAATTTTTTTAGATTTTTGGGTTGCTATATTTGCCTGCTCTAATATATGAAACTTCTAGTCTTCTAAGTACTGTTTTTAAATACATAAAGGTAGGTGTAAATCTGTCTTAGAAAGTTAAAACATGTAACTTCAAGGTACAAAAATGCTAACAGTGATTTTCCTTTGAAACTAAAGGCAACAGTTTGTTTTCACAGAATACTGAAGCTGATAGAACATGAATTCTGCGGATTTATTTCTTGGAAGATGTAGCATTTTTAGCTCTTGTCTGCTAACAGTTGACAAAATAGCTATCCTATTTTAATTGCAGGAATGAGTTATCTATTTAGTGTTGAGGATTAGTAGGAGAAATACTACCTTTTCCTGACTGTTTTATTTTGTAGTGATTTGCCAAGTTTGTCTTAGAGGAAAATTATGTTTCATGAACTGATTTGGGAGCAAAGTACAGTTCTAATGTCTGAATAATTTATGTGTACACATTTACTTCGCGTATGTGGGATTAGTATCCTATGGTATATTACATCGTATCTGTAGTTTAGTACACCCTCAAAATTGGCCATCTTGTTCCAACTCCTAATATATTTAGTGTTCATGATTTCAAGGGTCCTATGTCTGCATGTGCTAATGTAAAATAAGTATCTTTTTATCATGCACTAATGCTTGTCCATGCAATGCCTTAAATCCTGTCTTATGTTTGGAAATCTCTTTCTTTGTATTATTTTTCTTTTAGGTTTTGAACTGTATTCCATGGTGCCTTCTATTTGCCCTTTGGAAACTCTGCACAATTCCTTGTCTCTGAAGCAGGTGGATGAATTTCTTGCCTCTGTTGCTGCTCCATCAAGGGAAAATCTACAGGAGACACGTACTGGTTCTAGTTTGTAATTATGTTATTTTTAAATTCTTAGATATTGTCTAGTTAATTCTTGCAGTGTTTTGCAGGTAACAAGTAAGCTGGATACTGCTTTCAAAGAAAATGAAAATTTACACAAACTATAATTTTTAATTTTGCAGTATTTTCTTGTGGGTATGGACACTGTTATAATTCATTGAATTAATATCTCTGACTGCAGTAGTAAATTGAGGATTCAATGAAGTCATAGTTGGTATATTTCCTTCATTATTACATTGACTTCTCTGTATTGTCCATACCATCAACTGAATTACAGGTAATACTTTTTAGGGAGCATGCAGTGTTTCCAGCTTTATCCTGTCCTGTTATACTGGCAGTGACTACAGCAGAGTTGCATTTACACTTAAAACTGTGTTATTTCCT